CTATATCTCTGGCTGTCTATATATCTATTTATCTACCCATCTATCTATCTTTAAATCTATCTATATATATCCGTCTATCTGTCTGTACATCTATCTGTCTATCTATCTACCTATCTATCTATCTCTAATCTATATATATGCATATCTATCGACTTATCTATCTACCTACGTGTCTATCTATCTATGTAGAGAGGGAGAAGAGAGAAGAAAGAGAGGAAGAGAGAAAGAGAAGGAGGAGAAAAGGGGACAGGAGAGGGGAGAAGGGAGAACGGAGGGGGAGGGGGGAGGGGGAAGGGGTGGAGGGTCATAGATCATCTACCGCCAGCTGATCTGTAAGGGGAAAGAGGTTGCCGATTAGTCCATTCTTTGTGATCCGGAGTTGCCAGATGTTATTTTGATTATGGATTTTTTTTTCTATTTTAGCGCACTTTGATGTGTTGTTGTTAATTTGTTATGCTCTAAATATTCCTATATCAAAGCTGTTATAGTTTATTAGTAGTTTAATTACTATTATTTTGATATTATTAATATCTTTATAATTGTCATCACCGTCATCATCATCAATATCATCATCACCATCATTATCAAAGTTGTTATTATTGTTGTTGTTGTTGTTATCATTCTCTACCTATTATCATCATCATTATCATTATTAGGATTATTGTCATTATCGTCAATGATTTAATATTATCGTTATTATATCTATCATTGTTATTTGTTGTTGTTATTGCAGTTTTATCGCTATCCTTATTACTGTCACGATAATGATAATGATAATGATAATTATGATAATGATGATAATGATTATCATTAAAATCACAATAAAAATCATGATAATGATAGTAATAATGATTATGATGATACTTATGATAATGATAATGATGATAATATTGATAAAAGTAATAATATTGATAACGATAAAGGAGATCGTAATGAACGACCCAGATTTCCTAAAGAAAAAAAAGAGAAAAAATAAACAGATACTTAACTTGTTCATTGATTATTTTTCTCTCTGTCTCTCTCTCTCTCTCTCGTTTTTTTTCGTTGCCGGATTATTCAATAATTTCCTGGTATTTCTTTTGTTTCCTTTGTGTGCGCTCGGTCCGATGCTGGTCTAGCGGTTTTCTTCGGACCACGAAATAGCAAATCCGGAAGATTTTATTCGTCTCTCCCTCTCTCTTTGGATCTTTCCCTCTTTCTCTCTCTCTGGATTCCTCGAGCTTTCTGTCTACATCTTTTTCCTTTCGTTCTCTTATCTCTCTCTCTCTCTTTCGTTCTCTCTCTCTCTTTCTCTCTTTCGTTCTCTCTGTCTCTGTCTGTCTGTCTGTCTCTCTCTCTCTCTCTCTCTCTCTCTCTCTCTCTCTCTCCTCTCTCTCTCTCTCTCTCTCTCTCTCTCTCTCTCTCTCTCTCTCTCTCTCTCTCTCTCTCTCTCTCTCTCTCTCTCCTGCAATCTCCCTCCTTCCCTCCCTTTTTCCCTCCCTCCTTTCCTCCTCTCTCTCTCTTCTCTCTCTCTCTCTCTCTCTCTCTCTCTCTCTCTCTCTCTCTCTCTCTCTCTCTCTCTCTCTCTCTCTCTCTCTCTCTCTCTCTCTCCTGCAATCTCCCTCCTTCCCTCCCTTCTTCCCTCCCTCCTTTCCTCCCTCTCTCTCTCTCTCTCTCTCTCTCTCTCTCTCTCTCTCTCTCTCTCTCTCTCTCTCTCTCTCTCTCTCTCTCTCTCTCTCTCCCTCTCTCCTGCTATCTCCCTCCTTCCCTCCCTTCTTCCCTCTCTCCTTTCCTCCTTCTCTTCTCTCTCTCTCTCTCTCTCTCTCTCTCTCTCTCTCTCTCTCTCTCTCTCTCTCTCTCTCTCTCTCTCGTTCTCGCTCTCTCTCTTTCTGTGTGTCTCTCTGTCTCTCTGTCTCTATGTGTCTCTGTCTCTATGTGTCTCTGTCTCTCGTTCTTTCTCTCTCTCTCTTTCTCTCGCTCTCTCTCTCTTTCTGTGTGTCTGGTAGGGGGTACAAATATTTGTCATGTACAGAGCCTACCTGAAATTCATTAGTATTTTCCTTTTTGTGTTTGTATTTCAATCCTTAACATGTGAATTGTATTTCTAATTATGAAATTTCTCTTTCTCTCTCTCTTTCTCTTTCTCTCTCTCTCTCTCTATCTATCTATCTATCTATCTATCTATCAATCTATCTATCTATCAATCTATCTATCTATCTATCTCGCTTTCGCTTTCGTTCTCTCTCTCTCTTTCTCGCTTTCGCTTTCTCTCTCTCTCTCTCTCTCTCTCTCTCTCTCTCTCTCTCTCTCTCTCTCTCTCTCTTTCTCTCTTTCTTTCTCTCTCTCTCTCTCTCTCTCTCTCTCTCTCTCTCTCTCTCTCTCTCTCTATATATATATATATATATATATATATATATATATATATATATATATATATATATACATATATATATATATATTAATATATATATATATATATATATATATATATATATATATATATATATATATATATCTTCCTCTCTCTCAAAATACTAACCTCTAAAATCGTTATCATTATAGGTTTATATTTATGTAAAGATGTTATAGTCTATTCCCTTGACTCTGATAGCTGGAGCCTAGAAGCGTTTGAAACAAGGCTGCTTATTGGTCGATGCAACTCTGAGGATCGTAGTAAATTTACAGTTCTCTGTATTTTTACATATATATATATTTATTGTGTATTCGTTTTGCCTAAAAGTGTACAATTTGGATATAGGGTAATTTCCGCAGCTAAATAAGTCCTTAAAGAAAATGAAAGTTGATTATAAGGGTTTATAAAGGGATGGGCAACGTTCGCATTAATCACGGACATACAGGTGTTCACAGTCACTAAGGTTACATATGGACTCAAAATGAAATTATGTCAATTGTACAAATCGTTCCGGAAGAATTAATTAGCTGTCGGTTTCCTTTATTCTGCACAGAATTAATATTTGTCCTTTCCATTACCTTTATTGATTATTGGCGTACGGCTTCGTTTTACACAGTGCAGAGTAAAATAAATGGCGTAAATGACATTTCTACTGTTTACATCTGGCACCAGCGCATCGCATTCCAGTTTGGCTATTAAGTTTATTATTCTCATATCTCTTTTTTTTCACTGATCAATATTCTTTGCTATATTCACCATCAAGTAGACATTATCCCTAAAGTATCATACGATCTCAGATTTCGCTTCGTTTTTTTTTACTGAGAAAAAAAATATATAAATAAAGGCGGGAAACTCGAACGCCAATGTCTGACCCGGAGTGAGAAAAAAGGAAAAATAACAACATAACAAAAACAAACACAGCGATTGCTATTATTCCTATTAGTAATTATAGTAATAGAAGGAGAAATCACAGCATGAATGATGATCATGATAATGATTTTAAAATGTGATGATAATGAGAATGAAAATAATAATAAGAGCTGTAAAAAGTCATGATAGTGATCATCATAGTCATTATCATGATGATCATCAAGATTGTGATCATGATGGAAAAGACAGTGATTGTTTTTTTACTGACATCATCATCATCGTCATCATCATCCTTATTAATATTAATGGCATTAATATATGCATGACTATGATAATAATAATGATAATAATAATGGTGATACCAATAATGATGATACCATTATTATTATTATTATTATTATTATCATTATCATTATTATTATTATTATTATTACTATTATTATTATTATTATTATTTTCAATACTGTCATTGTTCTAATTATCATAATTATTATCATA